TGTGCAAAGATTGACTTCACATTTTTATATAAAACTACAAATACTTACAAAAATAAACAAAAAATATACATTCATTAATCATTATATATCTACCTACTTCTGTATGTAGATTTATTGAAATATTTTATGTGAAAAAAATTATGCATTTGATTAAAAAAATTGTAAGGTAAAACCGAATCAATAAAAATATATAGGTATGTATAGGTATACTTATATTAATATAAATATTTTATTAAGTGAGTAAAACCGTGTGACGAACATAGTTTAACATACGAATATGAAGACAACGTAACAAACAGTATCGGGAGCGAAAAGTCGCTAAATTTGAGGCGTTCCTGGAGGCTTTTGAGGACGAGAGGGAAGGCTCTATCGGCACTTTACACGCTCTACCGGATATAACATCCGCCCACTAACACAGCCTGTTCTGTTTCAATTTGGTAACAAATTGATATTGTTTTTATTTGAATATTACGATGGTTCGAGATATAATATGAATTATTACAAGTGACAAACATACATACTTAGGTATACTATGTTATAAACTTTAAAATACTCGTAATTTAAAATTATTTTAAGAATATGAAATATAGAATGATTTTAATATATTTAACATTACCTCATCTGGTTTAAATTAAGTCTTAAAACACTTATATTTTTCATACAATTTATTTCAACCTCAAATTTTATTACGAGTATTTCACACCTGATCTTATTTTCTATATATATTACTGTATAAATATTTGTTTTATATACTAAGTGGAGTTATTTATTATGTATATTAATTAATATATTTATATAATAAGTGTAATCAGCGTGTAATTCGTGAGGTTGCATCCTTTATGAGGCAGGGTGAGGGGAGCTTGGAAAAATTGCACATAAATATTGAAGCCGCCACTTACACGTGCGCCGCGACCGACGATAGAATAACGTGGATATGACGCGCCCAATAAATATATGGAATATTATAATAAACATTAATTATGTATATTTATTTATATGATATAGGTAAGAGTGGTAAAAATAAGGTATTAAGAATTTTTTTCTAATTAATTTTTATATACCTATCTATGCTTTTTTCTTATTGGATAAATCAATAATTTAAATCATGTTACTTATAAATTATTTATCTGTAACAAATCTCACTTATCCTATAGTAAACATTTTAGTAGAGGGAATTCCTCCAGTAACGAATTTTAAGATATTTTAAACGTATCTGTATTGGCAAACTAATTAACATACTTAACATTAAAATTAAATTTGCTACTTCTGCTTAAACATAATATTTATATAAAATCTTAAATTAAACTTTAGTAAAAACAATCGCAGTCTCTGCAAGTGGCGCCTAGTACCGGTCAGACTATTATTGTTTATTACACGAGTACATTAAATCCATCCAATAAAAACATGAAATTCGAAATTAAATTAGGTAAATAGTAAAAAACTATATTTATTTATTATCTTATCCACATATATCTTTCCCGCCAGTCGGTAGTAAGCCCTCTTTCTTTTCTTGTAACAAATTTGGCAACAATCTCACTTATTATGCCACACAAATTTCAGCGCCCTTCCCTCAGTGAAATTAAAATTTCTTCCCGGGACACTACGGGAATGGCTTCATAAATATTGTCTACTTAATATATATTTATATATAAAAAAGTTAAAATTAATAAATATCAACAAAAATTATATTATACATATTTTTTTTTAATATTTTCTCTCATTATTAGTTATATTAAAAACTTAAGTAATATATATTAATTATGTTTTTCTTTTATTTTCAGGTGATAAATCTACGCTGGAAAAGGTATTTGTGAAATAAAATTTAGTATACCTACAACTAATGAACTGTTCATATTTAATAGTGAGTGAGTATTGAAGATAATGTAATGACAAAGTTATATACAAATTTAATTTTTGAAATATTTTTATATAATATTTTAAATATATTCCTCTTTAATACAAAATAGTTTCATTTAAATTATATTTCTTAAATCTATCAACAATAACTTATTAGGTATTTTTAAATTAATTTATGAAAGATAAAGTTTAAATCGAAAAAGTATATATACTTACATATTTACTTAATAAAAAGAGTTTAAGAGATAGCTAGTCACTTACATACATACACTTCTCTTAAGTCCATACAGAAATCCAGTTATGTACAAACAGACATTAAGATTATATTACCTACTACTAGCTTTCCTCCCGCAGCTTCGCCCGCGTGGAGTTCGGCTATGTCGCGTTTCCAAAAGAACCCTTCAAAAGTCTGGGATAAAACTATCCTATGTTCTTTCTTAAGGTCAACTCCATCTCTGTACCAAATTTCATTAAAATCAGTTCAGTGGTTTAGGCGTGAAAGCGTAACAGACAGACAGACAGAGTTACTTTCGCATTTATAATATTAGTAGGGGCTATTGTAATATTTCAACTTATGACGTCACACGTGTAATACGTCACCGAACAGATCAGTTGGTGACGTCACACATTTGTCAGCGACACTTAAAGTGGTCGTTAAACTGTAAACAGATGTATATTGAGTTGTTAATACAACTGTAAACAACTGTAAATAACTGTTTACAACTGTATATTGGATGTAGAACACAAGTACTAGGTATATAATAGTATAGTTTAATTCAATAATATAGAAAAAAAAATAATACTTAAATTATTTTTTTATAAACTAGTTAATTTCTATGGCTTTGCCTGCTGTAGTCAAGAATGTCGATAAAATTATACTTTTTCATATTAAATGTCTTACGAGTAGGTATAAGGATTTTCTAAATACAAAAATAACTTTTTTGTTTATACAAAATCCAACTAATGGTGGGTAGTTGTAATATTTTTGTATCGTGACGTCACTTGCTAGTACCTACCTACTAATAGACCTATATAAAGAATGATTTTTCTTATACGACTTTTCTCATAGGTATATAAAATCCTTAAGTTCCTTCAATACTCTCTACAATATATCTCTTCGTAATAGTTATTTTTATATGAACTGCAAAAAATACTAAGTTTTACTAAAATTTAATTCTTTTTATAATTTTAGTAAATTATGGTATAGTTACCATACGATCAATCGAATCGAATATACTACATATTACAATGATACTGTAAGTTTAGAGTTACGATATTAAATATTGATTATAATTAATAACTTATAAGATAATGTTGAATATTAATAAGATTTAATATGAATATTTTTCTTATATATTGAGTAGTATTTAATAAGGTACCTATACCTATAGTTTTGTCCATAGACAGTAATCCAATATGTATAATGGATTACCTTCTCATATTTTCCTATTTAAACTAGTTACCTTAATTGTATTCGATTAATTTTTAACTAAAATGAAAAATTTTGCAAATATCTATGTATTTATATTTTTTTGTTATTTACTTATCAATTATCTGTATATTCATAATATATATTTTTAAATTTTTTTATAAATAAAAAAATTTAACATATTTTTAAAATGTATTTTTTTTTTGTATTGTCTATATAAAAGTACCTATACAAAAATAAATATAATCATTGAATATTGAAGTGACGACTCTATAATAGTTTTATAGTGCACGTAGAGTTCGGACATTAATATATTAAAGTACTCTAGTAAAAAAAATCCAATTGTAGGACACTAAAAGCCGTATCGTAAACCAAATGACCTAAACTGTCCATATCAAGCCCTATATACGTTTACGGCATAAACATCACAATAACAACGTAAACTCTATACTTATGCAATGTACCACCGCAACCTGATAAAGCTGAAAAGGCAACTTAAGCCTATAAAAACCATGCACTAAACACCACTTCCCAAACGGAATGATCGCAAATAAATAAACCCTACAGACAATAAACGGTTTTATTTTAACGGTCGTAAAGATCGTTATTGAGTGCCATGACGTAGTGGTTACGACTTGTGTGGATGAATGAAACGTGGGAGCGGGACGGAGATATCTGTTAGAAGAGGACGGAAGACACCGGCTCGACCACGTGGCCGGCGTTACACGCACCGGTGCAATTCTTATTGGAATTTAGATTTTAATTTCTTATAATTTATATTTTAAGAAAATTCTTGTAAGATTTTTTTTTAATAAAAAAGAGTCTCATTAGAATTCAAACTATAAATTATTCAAAATTAGTAAATGTAAATGTAAGTTATTTGTTAAAATATGTTTGCATATGATTTTTATTATAATTTATATTCAGTAAATACAGTATCTAAAAGGTTATATGATATTAATATTTCTGTTATACTTATTTGTTATATGAAATATTGTTATATTATGAGAATTTTTTACATTAATTTACGATATTTTTATTTTTCTCTAATGAATGTTCTTGTATGATTAATTGATGAATTAGAAGATTAGAATTTGTAAGTTTTTGTTTATATACAAAAAAATAAATATATTTTATAAATATAGCAATAACTTAAGTTACCATTGATATTAAATTATTATTAATCATTTAATCAATAATAACTATATTGTAAAACAATACCGATCAATTAATTTAATACTAAACTGTTGGCACATTACTGCGTAAAGCCCTTCACTTTGACAGCTAGAAGTGCCGGAATGGTTTGTGATTGGCGGTGAATGTTCTGCACCGGGTCACTATTGGAGTAGACGAGGGACGGCGGGGGGCGCGGGGGGAGCGGGGGGAGAACGGCCGCGTCACCAACAATGGCCGGCGGGACGGTCGCATGCGAACATCATCTATCTCTTTCTGACGTTTGTAAAACAGGTGCACGACGACGAGAAAGAGATATATCTATGAGTTCGCGCGTTAGAACATCTCCGTCTCTTTCACTCACAGCGTCATTGATCTGCCGTCTCGCTCGCGTCCCGTCAGCGTAGGAGCTCGCCGAGCCTCATACGCGGGTCATAAACGATCCGCGGCCATAGTGAAGGTGCACGCTCGAATCGATCCCATCGCGATAAAGACATAACCCGCGAGGCGAGCCGCGACCCGCGCGCCGCGTCGCCGAGCGATGACTTCCAAGTTCATCATAGATAGCATGCTGCCCAAGTACCACCAGCAGTTCCATCACCAGAACCTGTTCTCAGCGGGAACGCCGATAGAAGGTTTATCATCATCATCGTTATCCTCGTCGTTGTCAGCGCTGGGAGCCGCTTCCCCCGGGGCGGGTAGTCCTCAGCGCTCGTCATCATCATCGTCAGCATCCCCCGGAGCTCCTTCTAGGATGTATCCTTACGTGTCTCATCACCAACAGTTCGCTGGTTCCGTTCCGTTCCCTACGAGCGGCGGTTTGTCTGATGATAAGAGCTGTCGTTACCCAACGGCGGCTGACCCTATGGTGAATTACGCGCTGGGCCAGCATAATGGGGGAGCAGCGGTGTCTGCTGCCTCAGCCAGCATGGCGGCCGCGGCACAGTTCTACCACCAAGCCGCAGCATCAGCAGCGTCAGCCGCCTCCGCCTCAGTAGACGCCATGGGCGCCGCTTGCTCGCAACCTTCAACACAACCTCTACCGGACATACCTCGCTATCCGTGGATGTCGATCACTGGTAACTATCATTAACACGTTTTATTTATATATACTTTAGGTATAGGTATATTATTTCCATATTAAAAAATAAAAATTTTAAGTTTGCTTTATGTCCGCTATTTACTTTACTTTTATTATCAATCAAATCCAATAAGAGTACCTATAATAAAATTTATTGTTTAGTTATATAGATGTAACACACGGACATACATACACATTATAATAGAACATCAAGCTTTATAATGAGGCTTTTAAAATTATTATTAAATAAAAAACAATATTATAAAAATCATTCTTCTCAATCCGTCGGCACCATTCGCCGCCAATTTAAACATACGAACAGATAACAATTATTACATATATTTATTATATACAAAATTAATTATATCTATTATGTTTGTTTTATTAGAAAAATAATTAAATTCGGTAATAAACTTAACTAATTGATAATCCAATACAAAATGTTCTTTTCCGACGCAATAATTAACATAACACATAAACAAATACAATAAAGTAATTAATAATAATTATTATTAAATTAATGTATTGCATATAAAAATAAAATAAATTTAATATTAATATTTATTTCCATCCGATTTGAAAAACATCAATTATATATAAACCTATAATAATTAGGTATATTATATTAGTATATAATATTCTTATGAGATATATATGTTTTATTCTCAATAAATATAATATACATATATGCCTAAAGAACTGTTATATGTGGGGTCTACTTAGTACATAAACAGGATAATAACACATTCAAAACGGCCATACGATTTAAATACAATGGACTATAATCTTAATATCATGTAATAATAATAAAACAATTATATGAAACTAATTATTAGATAGTAATTTAAATTATATATTAAATAAAATCAACTCTTATAAAACTTAACATAAAATTAATATCCGTTTTAATTCCGTGTCAGAATTATTTTGTATCAAAATTATAAATGAATCACGTATTCTTTTGAAGCACACATGACGGCCGTAAATAATAGACATGGAAATTATAATCAAAGCGAATGCCATCATACCTCACAGATATTACACTAAATGGCCCATAACATACTTGTTTTTATATAAAATATTATATCTGATCTTAATTCATGATTGTTAAATTACAAGACGTCACTAGATTTTTAAAAATAAACTCTCACTGACAACACGTGCTCAGTAAAATGGCCGACGTTTTACAACTGAGATTCTCTCTTTGATATAATACAAACAATGAAAGTGTAATTCAAATTAAGAACAAGCAAATAATAATAGCTATTCATTTAATATATTGAAGTTAATATAAATCGCATTAAAATCAATTAATGGACAATTAATTTAATAAAAATATATAATAATAAATTCTAAAATAATTTAATTATAAATATTACTAAATAATAACGTTAAAATAACATTTATATTGTATTTATATAGCAGTTTCTACTTGACTGTGATATATTACTAGCATGTGTGTGTAAGGCGCATGCGCAACAAACATGGCCGTCGGGACCGACCAATCAGGACGCAGCAATCTTGACACCACAGACAATATCGATCGATTATAATGAAATAATTACATTTTATTAATATATACAAATGAATATATACAACAGGACATTAGCGACAATTGTTTTATATATAAAGATTAAGTATACTACATTTAATGTTTCCGCTTCTGTTATAAAAAAAAAACCGGTAAAATGCGTCCTTAATTACTATAGATTGCATTAGTTGCATAAATTTTCATCGATATCAGTCTTGGCGTGACTTTTATTGGCGCGTTCGATACAATTCGAGTGTTTTGTTAATTCGCGATGTTTTGTTGATGATATAAAATTAAAATGTACAAAAAATACACCCTTATTATGATATTTTTGATATATTAAAGTACCTATATTTGTAAATTTTATTTAATACTAATTATTAATGTTATTTATTATATATTGCTTGTCGTTTTTGTGTTGCTTTGGTTATTGCTATATGTTATACAAATGCTTTTTAATTAGTTGCTATGTAAGTATTTATATAGCTATAGAAACTAACCATGATTATTTTTTATCTGGTGCCAACTCAACTGTATAACTCTAACAAAGCGTAAAAATAATAAAATCATAACGTTTGAAACTCAGTTATTTTCTTTAGCTGTGCAAGTTCACAAGTAATGTTTGTTCCTTTAATGTTTTTGTAGCATTTCTATTCAAATGTTACTAGAGTTTTGTTAGAACATATATTTTAGTATGTAATAGTTGTTTTTGTGTGTGTTATAAATATTTTTTGATAATATAAAGAACATTCAATACGATTGATCATAGATTTTCCGTTTCCAGATTGGATGAGTCCCTTCGACCGCGTGGTCTGCGGTGAGTTTAATGGTATTTATCGTTTCAAATTTTATTTTTCTTTTAGTTCTAAGCATCATATAAGTGGTTTTACACACGTGCTACAATAAATATATCGTGTGCAGAACCTCTATAGCCTTCCGTAAGGTTCAGTTGCAATTATTGATTTGTCACGGCTTGGTTCTATCTACCGTATTTTTTTTATATTCCAATCATGTAAACAATTAATAAAAATCAATCGGCTATGAAGACCTCATCCGACATGAATCACTGATTGATGGTTTTTATGTATTTCATGTTTTTTTTATGATCAATTATTGGGTTTTTATCGTGACGTCATACATGCAAAGATATTGTGGGTTTTAAATTCTTTATCTCAAACTTTTGTTTTACAAATTAAACATTACATTGATATCATATAAATGATATTTTTTATACCTATATTTTATGTTTTTAATAACACGGAATAATGTTTTTGAAGATCGCAAAACAACTAAACTTTCACCAAAGACAATGACACAATGGGCCGGTTATAAAATATAAAAAAGCTAAAGGTAGCCAAAGGTAGTTATATTGGAATCTTTACCTGTACAAATAGGTTCCGTATATATTATTTAAGGTTCCATCTACTAATTAATATTAATTAAATAAATAGAATATCAATAAATGATAGTTAAAAATAATATTCATAGTGCCTATCTCATACAAAAAAAAATATATAGAATACTTATTAAGGTATAGGTAAGATGTATGAGTAAGAAGTATACTTTTTAATATAATAGTAATTTTACTAAAAAATCTATATTAAAAAATATTAATAGTCTCGGAACCTTATTATTTACAATAGGTAACATGTTTCTAAACTCTCACCAACTAAAAAAAAACAGAATATAATAAATAACAAAAGATTCACGGCAATAGGGTTGTGCAATTTCTATTTTTTTTTTGTTAAAAATACGAATCCTTTGTACCGGAGAGATGTTTACAAATATATTATAAGTCAAAGGGTTTTAAATCACGGCGTTGAAAGCTTTTTAAACAAATCTAAGAACAACGTGCATTGTATTGTTGGCACGATCGCAAATTGCTTTATTAGGAACCGGAGCGAAAATCGATATCACCGAAATGGCAGTCAAAACAAACGTATGACATACTATATATAACATACGATATTATTAATATAAATAACTCTTTAATTTTAGTATATTTAAAACAAGAACACTATGAAAATTCATATATTCTAACCCTAATCGAAACTCAAACGTTAATCTTAAAGCTCGTTTCCGTGAGTTTATTTATTATTGTTAACAAAATACAGCTTTAATTCAAGTCAAAACCGTTTTATAATCAATATATTACTGTAATTGAGAGAACAAAACGATTTGTGCATTATGAGTTTATAAAAATCTCTTTACGACGCCATAACAATTAATATGTAATCACTGTCAATCGTAACTCCGCAGTTATAGAGCTATACATAGATAGTTAAAAAAAAATGTCGTCCGCAAACAATAACATCTCAGAATTGACCATAAACTGACGACCTTGAGGCAATAAAAATTTAACGAGGCAAGTCTGCGGCGCTACGTAGTACGAGCACATCAGAAACGAAAACTTAACTGTCATAGAAACAGCTGTTCTAACATCTGGTGTAACTATTCGTATGTTTCTTTTATAATTGATAATTAAAAAAAAAAACAGATTTGTCTATGCTTTTATTTAGCGATATTGGCTGTATGTTGTAAACAAACAGGCTGGTATGATTAAAAAAAAAACAAATGTCAATGTCAAATGTAGTTACATGTCGTAACTTTCTATGTGTCCCATATTCGCTTATCTATTTCACGTCCAAGGTTGCTCGTTACGCAACTATATTTAGAATTTAAAAAACGTAAAGGTTGTCGACCTCCGAATTAAAACGTTGTGAGGTGCATGCGCAAAATAATGTACGTACGTACATTCGGCAAATGTGATAGTAAAACTATGCCAATATAAACAATGTTGCTTTCATTTAACGACTATAGTCGCGTGTATAGATTTTACGATCGGAAGACATTTGACTGTGTACGATTTTATGATGAGTGTTGAAATCGGTGAATTTAAGTTCATTTCCGATGTTACGGAGCTCTTCATGTAATGCGATAACGTCACAAATATATCGATATAAGAAAGTTATAAATAAAGGAACGCCATCTTAACAAAATAAATGTACTATCAAATACATAAATAGGTAAAAAGAGCGATAGAATCGCCGAAGCTAAATTCAAGCCGCAGTAAATATAAAACCGCACATATATTGGAGTGTGCGATTTCCGTGCAATTTACTTGTATTACCGGCCAAGGGTCGAAAGGTCTCTATCAAATATGAGTTTTGGTCAGTAAATTTAAAGGTACCTATCACTGGCCGCTCCCGAGCTACTATTGAATTAAATATTATATTGAATTTATACAACTATGTTTAATAAGAAATGTTACAATCATGTATACTGATTGATGAAAAACATATACATATAGATGATTTAAAATTATACATAACTAGCTGACCCGGCGGACTTCGTTCTGCCTCAATCAAGAAATAAATAATGTCTTATTGATTTTTTTTTTGGAATTTACCTTTAAGCCTTAAACTCCCGTGTTCTAAAGTGCGACAGAATGATTGACATATTAGTTAGTTGTCAAATCTAA